TGGATAGTCACCTTCTGCATGTGAACTCTGTGGGAACCCATGAGTCCCCTCATCGTTAGACGCTTCCCCTCCCACCTTTCTTTGATAAGGAGCAGCTTTCTTTAGTAGAATTTCATTAGACTATTTTCATTTTTGTTGCCTGGTTTTTTTTGGGGGGGGGGTGAATGGACGGAAGGAGATCTTGTCTAAAAACCCTTTGCCTACATGTGTAGTAATTTTGTAGCTTCATGTTCCATGAATTTTGAACTGATTTTTGTGAGTAGAAGAGGCCGGGACCTAGTTTTAGTCCACAGAAATGACGCTGTACTGTTCTTTCTCTGCTGCGTCCCTGGCTGGTGGCTCTGTTTTGTTCCACTGGTCTAGTGGCAACGCTTGAACTGCTGTAGTTTTGTAGTATTCTGTTTGGCTTTTGTTTTGGTTTTAGGTGCTGGGAGTCAACCCAGAGCTTGTGCGTGCTAGACAAGCTCTCCACCACCAATTCCACCCACAGTCCCCAGAGTGTGGCCTAAGGTCTGGTAACACAGTGCTCTCGGCTTTATTTATGTGTTGTATTTTGCTGTCTATTTCCCCTCAAGATTTTTTAAAGTTATATTTTGGGTCTCCAGAGTGCTGAGATTAAAGGCATGTGCCATCACTTCAGACATAAAGCTTTTTAAGTCAATCTATTGAGGAGTATGAAAAGAAACATTTTCCTGGATATGTTTTATTTTACAGTTTTACATTTAAACCATGTTGTGTTCTAAGAACCAATTGAGAGACTGAAGAAATGGCTCAGCAGTTGAGAGCCCCAGTTGCTCTTCCAGAGGAGCTGTCTCTATCTGCAGAAGCCACATGGTGGCTCATAGCCTTCTCTAGCTCCAGCACCAGGACATCTCACTCCCTCTTTTGGCCTCCATGGGCATTGCACACACACGCAGCACAGACAAATAAGTAGGTAAAACACCCATGCACATAAAATAAACAAATAATTTAAAAATTCTCTTGAATACATGAGTGCATTGTGTATTTGAATACAAAGTTAAAAATAGCTGCTGAACTTGGAGATAACTGGGAGGTGCATCATGCACTAAATTGTTAAGGTGATTGGTAACACATGCCAAAGCCTTAACCCAGGGAACTGTAGAGCACGGTAATGGTACACACAGGGTATATTTATTGTAAGGATAAAAGAGAATTGCAAGACAATCCCAAGCTTCATTGTCAGTTTTATTAGTAGTGATTTTAATGGTAGTAGGCTGAAATAAATTGAGTATGGTATTAATAAGTTAAATAGTTATGGTTATGTTGTTAGAAAGCAAGCTGTTGAAACTAAATTTCTAACTGCAACTTGAACTGAGAGTATCTACAAAAACATGGCACTCATACCTCTGATGTAAATATGATTTCAGACATACAGAAAAGCTGTAAGAAAATACAAGTAAAATTAATTATATCATTTTCCTGACTAATCTTGTGTGTGTGTGTGTTGTATGTTTGTGTCGTATGCTCACTTGAGTGTGTAGGTTTGTGCACATGTCTCTGCATGCACATGTGCAGACCAGAGCAATATGTCTGCCTTATTTCCTCATGATAAGGTCTCTCACTGAACTTCAAGCTTGCCTTTTCTGTTAGGATTGCTGGTTAGAGAGCTCTTGAGATCTGCCTGTTTCCATCCCACAGACGTGTACAGAAGGGCTCAACTTCTTAGATGCTAGAGATTCGAACTCAGGTCTCCACAATTGCTGAGCGATCACTTGTACTCACTAAGCCATTTCTCCAGTTCCAGATTCAATTGCCATTAACATTTTGAAACTCTATGCCTTATCATTTGCTCTATCTATCCACAAATGGACACACACACACACACACGCAAGTGTGGCATCGAGTGTATGTGCACACACATTTTTCTTTAACAGTTGAAGGTAAGTTGCTTATATCATAGTTGAGTGTGTACTTCTAAGCATCAAATTACTCTTTTCCGTAAAACTACCCAGCTCAGAAATTTGATGTTAATCTAATCATTCTGTTTGTTTTGCTATCCATATCTAAGTGTGTCAGCTGGCTCAAGACTGTCCACTCAGGTAGTTTGGATTCCGTGGCAAACAAGGAGCAGCATTTAGTCATTACGCCCCTGGATCCTGAGCATTTTCTGATTCACAGTGATGGCCAAGAATGATCAGCTCCCTGCATGCACTGTTTGCTTTGTGTCAGCACTTATGAAAGACTGAGCTCCAGCTTTTTCTTTGTCTTATGTATCACGGTCTTTGAGGAACTTCATTTGGAGTTTGAGGCTTCCTTGGGACTACATTAAGATTTTGCATTCCCGGCTAGAATATGAAATACACATGCATGCACACGTGTATGTATACGCTTCTCTGCAGAAAGTACTAGTTCATAAAGTTCTGGGGCAGTAGAAATTACTTCTCCTGTTCAAACAGAGCCCCCCCCATTCCCCTCCCACTACAAGTACCAGAGAACCTTTGAGTACTGTTATCTTCCCATCTAGAGAAAATTTTACAAGGTGAGCTCCCCGCTTCTGATGCTCCACAACCACAACACAGTTCTCAAAATTGAGTCGTGGAAGGAAGACTTGGGCCCATGTGAAGGAGAACCCATCAGGATGGTTCTCGTGTTACAAGTGACCTGGGGTTTCCCACTGTTCACTGACTATAGGGATCCAGGGCCCATAGCATCCCTCCTCCCCCAGCCCAATACAACAGATGGGGTTCAACTGGCTTTGTGCCCTTTTCCTGAACAGCTGAACAAGGTTTGCTTTTCCAGAAGAACTCAGCCTCTTCAAGATTCTGTTCAGATGCCTAAAAGTCTGAGGAGGCTTTTCTTGAGCACAGTGCAACACGATTCTCTTTATTGTAGACTCTGAAGATGCCTTTTAGATACACCTGTCATTGCTGTACTTGAATGCCTTATCTAATTGTGTTTTCATCTCTAGATCAGAGGTTTATACATGCAGAAACTGAGTTGTACCTATGTTGTTACTAGCAATGTGTGATAAGTATCTAAAAAAAGTGTTGTGAATAAATGGATCAGCTTCAATAAAACCCCGAGCTGCTGCTTGATAGCACAGTCCAGGTTTCTCTGTCTTTTACTTGTGTTTATTTACTTATTTTTGTTTTGTGTCCTGCGGAATTGGTCACACGTGCATGTGGAAGTCAGAGGACAACTCTCCATGGTCTCGCTAAGCTATCTTGTTGGCTCTGGATTTGTCAATATTGTAAATAAAATCTAAGTCAGTTCGGTCCAAAGACTGTAAGGCAACACAGCACAATTAAGCCATAATGTAGTGCACTCACAGGTAAACTGTGAGTCAAACTTCCCCCACACAGTCTCCCTTTCATTCTGAGCCTGTTATGAACATGTGCACACACCCAGTTTCTTGCCTTATAAGCTTGTGTTCTAACAATTTAGGTAATAAGAGAAGGCGGTAAACCATCTAGCAAAGATATGCAGTATCACACTCTGATATGCAAAAACCTCTCAATGGTAGTTAATGGATCATTTTATCTAGGAGTAGAGGAATAGGGTTAGATAGGAGCTTAATGGCTGATCTGTATTTTGGTGGATGGTCTTTCTCCCTATTCACCAAGGTTGCAGGACTGAGTTGTTGAGGAAGGTGCAGCCGGAAGGGCCCGGGAGCTGGCCGAGGTGCTGAAAAGGCTCCCTTAAGCGCGTGAAAGCAGCCAAAGGGCTTTTTTTTTTTTTTTTTTTTATGGCGTGGGTTTGAAGACCTGAACAACAGATGCACGGGGTCGTTCTCAGACATCCTTGATACTATAGTGATTCCTTGAAATTCATTTCCACTGAATGAGATTTCCCCCACCCCTTACCAACAACCATGAAGCAACGCAGCCTTTATTAACTTATTGAATGGTTAATATATCTCTAAAGCTTGACTTTCACCCACAATGATCCTCAGGGTGTCTGTAATTTTACAAAGAAACAACAACAAACTAAAGTTCAGAAAGTTGGCGATCTTGCCAGAAAAAAAAAAAATCACAGCTTCTAAATAGCTGATCTCTCCAAGTCATGCTTTTAAAAAAAAAATCACATAAATTTACTGCGCACCCTCGACGTATGCCAGCCTTGCAGCACTGGCTGCTTCCGCTCCTGCACTTGCAACTTGCTTTCCCCTGTGCCCTGCTCTGTGGTATTCCCATCCAGCCTGTAGTTTACATCTGGTAAAGGTGACACTCAGGCTCATCCAGCGTGCCCCTTCCCCACATCCACTCACAGGGCTAGGATTTAGAACCGCGACTTTTGCACACTTGTGGAGTGAAACAGCTCCGATCTTGTTCAGTTACCTCAGACTAGGGAACATGCTTCTGGTTTTAAAATCCGGGAGAACACGAAGGTGTATTCTAAGAGAGGTTCTTCCCAGGTGCGCACTGCCTCGTCTGATTTGAATACAAATAGCTCCTGTTTTCCCCTCTACCCTTCTTTCCCCACCGAGAGGCACGCTTCCTTTTTCAGGAGCGGAACCTGTTCGATCCCTGCGGAGGAAAGGCTTGATCCCCATTCCGCTGCTGAAGGCATCGTCTTCTACGCCACTACGCCACGACCGACTCCTCCACCCTTCCCTATTCTACTCAAATGACCTGTCCTTCCCGGCCACCCTCGCGCCCAAGACTAGGGAGAGGAGTCCTCACACCCTCACTTTGCAGAGCCTGCCTTCCGTAGAGCCCACGCACTCGGACGCTGTGGGGAGTACGACATGTGACTGGGGCGAGATCTCCAGGCAGAGCTGTTGGCTCTGCTCGGGTGACAAGGTGACGGGTAAGTGACTGTGTGAGCGGTCTCAGACTGGTTTGGGAGACAAGGACTATGGGGAAGAGTGGGAAGGGGAAGAAAAGAGAGGTGGGGAAGGAGTGGTGGGAAGGAGGGAGCAAGGGAGCCAGGAAGGGAGGGAAAGTCGGAGAGGAGCGCGATGGGTCACTTTCTTCCTTTCACCTCTAATCCCTTCACCATCACCTCATCCCACCTTCTCCCTAGGCTTTTCATTCTCTCTTTCCTCTCCAAACCTCCTTCCTGCCGCCGGAGCCTATTTCTCCCTCGCACTCTCCCGCGCGTTAAGGGGATCTTCTCGTGGGGAGCAGATCTCCGCGCGGTTGCGACCCCAAGCCTAGCAACATGTGGAACGCGACGCCCAGCGAGGAGCCAGAGCCTAATGTCACTCTGGACCTGGACTGGGACGCTTCCCCAGACAACGACTCGCTGACGGACGAGCTACTGCCTCTGTTCCCCGCGCCGCTGCTGGCGGGCGTCACCGCCACCTGCGTGGCGCTCTTTGTGGTGGGCATCTCGGGCAACCTGCTCACCATGCTGGTGGTGTCCCGCTTCCGCGAACTGCGCACCACCACCAACCTCTACCTGTCCAGCATGGCCTTCTCGGACCTGCTCATCTTCCTGTGCATGCCACTGGACCTCTTCCGCCTCTGGCAGTACCGGCCTTGGAACTTTGGCGACCTGCTCTGCAAACTCTTCCAGTTCGTCAGCGAGAGCTGCACCTATGCCACGGTCCTCACCATCACCGCGCTGAGCGTCGAGCGCTACTTCGCCATCTGCTTCCCGCTGCGGGCCAAGGTGGTGGTCACCAAGGGCCGCGTGAAGCTGGTCATCCTTGTCATCTGGGCCGTGGCCTTCTGCAGCGCGGGGCCCATCTTCGTGCTGGTGGGCGTGGAGCACGAGAACGGGACCGATCCTCGGGACACCAACGAGTGCCGCGCCACCGAGTTCGCAGTGCGCTCTGGGCTGCTCACGGTCATGGTGTGGGTGTCCAGTGTCTTCTTCTTCCTCCCGGTCTTCTGCCTCACCGTGCTCTACAGTCTCATTGGGAGGAAGCTGTGGCGGAGGCGCGGAGACGCGGCGGTGGGCGCCTCGCTCAGGGACCAGAACCACAAGCAGACAGTGAAGATGCTTGGTGAGTCTTGCGCCGGCCAGCCTTTCTTCCTCCCCTGCTTGCCTTTTTCAAGGGCCCTCAATTTTTTGTTTCTAGCCGTTTCTGTGTCCCCATGCCTCCGGAGTCTCACTTTCTGCCCACCTCTCCGTTCTTGTTCTCAGTTACTGCTTTTCCCTTTCTTTCTCTGTCCCTTCCTGTATCTTCGCTTCTCCACGACAAAGCTTTTCATATTGGCATTTCCATAAAATGAATATCACTCCGGAAACCTGCTTTAAGATGGAAATATCTCATCATGGGGTTTTTTTGAGGTCCTTGAAGGAGAGGTTCAGCTTCCTGACTCATATAGAATTTGTGGCCATCAAAGTAGCATTATAAGCAGACAGGCATCGGATTGAGAAATTACCCCGTGGTAAATTTAACCAAAAAGTTGGATCACTCTGTTGAAGACTGTTTATGAATGTATTTGGTTTGCTTTTAATATTGGGTTTTTCGGCCCTGTGTATCTTTCGCAGGTAATCACAGCTACACTATTTATTCAGCCTATGTAAGGCTTTGTAGGATGGAAAGTGGGAGTCTCCTGCGGCTATTTGCCTGATTATCTGTCTCCCCCCTAGCATACGCCATGGAAGGGTAGAGAAGCTATCTTACCTGTGCTCTGTGCTCGGGAACCTCTGGGGACAAGGTCACAGCTGAGTGCACTGATGGTTACTGCACTCCTCTTTAGAGGCACGTGAAGTGTATGTACAGTGAAGCCATGAAGACCGTGCTCATATCCAAGAGGAACAGCTGAGCTCCCTTTCTCAAGACATTCCATGCCTATTGGCATTTAATACTTCTTAGTTTTTGCAGGATGGTTTCCTATTTGCAACTTTATTACACTCAAATTCTCCATATCAAAATGTTAGAGAGCTCCCTGGGGATGTCAAAAGCTGTTTCCCAGACCAGGATGGCCCTGATAGGAGGGAGAGATGGTCAGTAAGCTCCCCCATCCCCGTGTTCTCCATGGGACCGTCAGCAAGCCTCTTGTGTCCTCCATGGGACCATCAATTCTCCAGTTCTCTCACTGAAGAGGGTGACACAGTGCTGCTGTGGCATGCCAGCTCTTCTTACACGACTTAGTCCGAAGGAGGGATTGCTAATTCCCTCCAGTTTTGTAAGCTACGCCCCGATGTTTCCCCATTGTCTTCTTCCCTTACAATTTGAAGGAATCGTCAAAGCGAGATGGGAACCAGAACATTATTTTTCTCTCATTTCTGAATTTTAAAAACTCAATCTAAAAATTTAGAATACTTGAAGAAAGTATCTTACATATGTGCAAAATGAAGCCTTGAATAGGTGGTAATTAATGTTGGCTGGATTAACAACTCCTTATACTTTATTTATATCTATGTAGATGACATAGAGAGGTCTTGTCAGTTGTTACTAATCTCTATGGCATATACAGCCCCCTGTAAAACTCACTTGAAAAATCTGGGCACAGTAGTCCACAAAACCTAACAAAACCCCATCCTAAAATCAGAGGAAAGAAAGGGCAAGACAGGAAAAGAAAACGAAGGTGTTTCCCCCTTCCCTTCCCTAGATAATTCAAGTTAATGAGTCTATTTTATAGTCAAGGAACCTGCATGCCCAAGAGGGTGCTGGGGCTATTGTTTAGTGGTGAGTACTGACTGGGCATGCTTAGCCCCAGCATGGAGTGGGAAGAGTAAATTCTGACCCACTGCTGTGGTGGAGTACAAACACATTGCCTCATTTGTATTTGTATTCTGTGTAATGCATATAAACGGAGGATAATCATTAATCCATTGTTTCGTTGAGTCCTTATGACAAGTCATCCACAAAGTCGAGCAGTTACCAAGTAGGAAGACTGGGAGGATGGGGGCAGATTGTTCAGCTGTTGGTCTGGCAGACCCACTGCACGTAAACGCGGCAGGATAGATGAGATGGGAGCAGAGCAATATTTATGTGAGGAGCAGGACATTGTGTTTCCCACATAAAGAGTAACACGATGTTTGTCTGTGGGCCTGTCACTCGTGGAATAAACAAAGCCAAGAGTTAAAAATGTACAGTGGTTTGTGACATGCCTCACACTGATACAGTGGTTTGTGACA